CAGCGTGTGTGAATGCTTCTGTTCTTCCCTCCATTGGTGGGCTGGGCTGGTTTGGAGATGCTGAAAGGCTCCGTGCTGCAGTGAGGCAAGAGACCTGGGATCTAGTCCCAGCTGCCTCACTTACGGACTCTATGACCTTAAACAAGTCACTTAACTTAGCTTTGAAAAGCAGGAACCGTGACGGATTCATCTTCCTGTCCAGAGCTGCTGGCATGAGTAGAAATTCTGCAAGTGAATGAACAACTCCAAAGGCTAGGCTCCTTCTTATTCCAAATTCCCCCAAAATCCACTGGCAACTGGACTTTTGGAACCCAAACTGCAACCTGGTGGGGGCGGTATCCACAGAGAGTCCATGTTGCTGCGGTTCCTAAACACGCACACGTGGGGAGTGGAGCTGCCGGCAACACAGCCAGTGCCCTTCCTCCTGTCCTCCCAGCAGGCGTGCCACTGCAGGGCCTCATGTGCAACACCAATGCCCAGTTCCTGAGGCCTCTTCAGAGTCTCAAGGAGAAGGGCGAAAAGGCATTTCAACCTCTATGAAGTAGGGCCGGGCACAGTGGCTCACACCTGTAATCCCAGCACTTTGGGAGCTGAGGTGGGTGGATCACCTGAGGTCAGGAGTTCGAGACCAGCCTGGGCAACATGGTGAAACCCCATCTCTACTGAAAATACAAAAATTAGCTGCTGTGGTGGTGGGCGCCTGCAATCCCAGCTACTCAGGAGTCTGAGGCAGGAGAATCTCTTAAACCCGGGAGGCAGAGGCTGCAGTGAGCTGAGATCGCACCACTTCACTCCAGCCTGGGTGACAGAGCGAGACTCTGTCTCAAAAAACAAACAAATCCATAAAACCAACAACAACAAAAAACCGTCTATGAAGTGCCAACAGATTCAGTTATTTTGACTCAATTTTTCAGAACACGCTGGGGCATGAACTCAGCCTGGTAGAAATATGTATGTTTAAGATAAAAGGTTGAAACTAGGGGGAGAGCGAGCCTAAAAGGTCCCTGTCCAGGCCTTCAGAGAAGTGGCTCTGAGAGCTACATGATGTGCATATTTTCAGCATTTAACGGCACCGTGACACCAGAGGACAGACTCAGGAACAAAACCACCCGCTGAGCACACAGGAGTCCAGCCGCTTCGTGTCCTCTCTTGGCAATGAAGACACAAACCACTTGCGTGTCAAGCGTTGCCAGGCCAGCCTCGGTCTCCACAGCTGAGCCCAGAAACCAAGGGCATGGCGGGACTCACAGGCAGGGAGCGGTGAGGCAGAGCCGTCTGCTGGAGCGAGCCCTGCTCTGGGGCCACGACTGGCACTCGGGGTCCCTTCGTGCAATAAGCCACGTTCTGAATACACCACGTCAGCCCTTGCAAACCCACAGGAAGCACAGGGTGGCTTTTTAGAGGCACGAGGATCCTTACATGAAAGGATGTCACCCTGGGCCGACGCCAGTGCCCACGCCATTCCGGGTTCCGTCACCCTCCCTCCCCTTCTTCCCAGGCCTCTCTCTCAAACGTGTCTTTATGGCTTTTCTCTTTTTTTTTTTTTTTTTTTTTTTTTTTGATGGAGTCTCGCTCTGTCACCCAAGCTAGAGTGCCGTGGTGTGATCTCGGCTCACCGCAACCTGTGCCTCCCAGGTTCAAACGATTCTCCTGCCTCAGCCTCCCGAGGAGCTGGAATTACAGGCGCCCGCCACCATGCCTGGCAAAATGTTGTATTTTTAGTGGAGACGGGGTCGGCCAGGCTGGTCTTGAACTCCTGACCTCAGGTGATCCACCAACCTGGGCCTCCGAAAGTACTGGGATTACAGGTGTGAGCCACCGCGCCCGGCCCTTTATGACTTTTCTACTTTACACCAGATGCTGTCTCGTTTCATCCTCATGACAGCCCTACGTAGCAGCCCCTTCCCCTTGGGCTCAGTTTGCCGACGAAGACCCTGAGACTCCAGAGCCAAAGGGGCGTTGCCTGTGTTCCCCGGGCTGCCAAGGGCGTCGCTGGCGCTGGGCCTCTGGGTTCCAGCTCCTGCTCTTTGCTGTGCCCCTTGCTGGTCGTTGGCCACAGTTTGGCTGATTTTCTTGGCGGGACCTCCCGTCCTGGGATCCTCTCCCTCTGCGTGTCCTGGAGCACAGTGGGGTTTCCAGAGGGCAGAGGGGTCTATGGAGAGTTTTGGGGTCCTTGGTGGCAAGTTCAGGTGGCCTCTCCCAGACCGACAGACAGACTGCGGGTTCTCCGAGGAGGGGCCCACAGAGATCCTTCCCCTCGGGCTGTGCTGTGGCCGGCGTCTCCTCCCTGCCTGTCCCGTGCTTGGTCCAGCCTGTCACCTCCCCGGGGTCACGGACAGTGACCCTTGGAGACCAAGGCCTATTTCAACCCAGTGGCCTTTTCCTGGGGCATGGAACCAGGACAGCCAGGCTTCCTTCTGAGTCATTCCTGCCTGGGGCCACCAGTGGACACCAAATTTCCATTTGTCCTCCTCTAGCCCACCTCTGTCTGCTGTGCCTTATCCTTTAACCCTTGAGAGCCAGGGCTGTTCCTTAAGGAAACCCTCATTGTGGCGGCTCCTTTGTGGAAACCCTGGGTTTTTCCTCTGGCCTGGGGCTTCAGTGTGATGCAGCCTGGGTGAGGGTCCTGCCAGCAAGTGTGCAAACAGACCCTAGACTCAAACATAGGCAGGTCATCTGTAAGCCCCCTCAGGGAGCCAAAAGGAATGGGGCTGACTGGCTGCCAGTGCCCCAGCAGCTGCCCTGTGGGGTGGGGGCCGCCTGCCCACCGTTGGTGACTGCTTTTCCTGCCAAGGCCCTGGTAATGCCCGGTCAGATGTGTGGGTGCCATCTCCCGGCCACTGCCACCTCCTCTCCTGGCCCAGCTCCACTTGGTCCCCTTAACGACGCAAAGGACCCAGCGCTCCAGGGCATGCCTAGCCTCTTCGGGTCGCCATGGAGATGCCTTTGCACACCAGCCGTCCTCCACTCCCTCTCGGGGTCATGGCCCGTGCTTTTCCACGCCCACCCCGGGTCTTGCCCCTCTGGACTCCTCTCTACAGACCCCGCTTCCTGGCTCCACATGGAGCTGAGTGCCCAGCTGGTACCTAGCCATTTGTGGTCAGCTTTAAATCACAGATTTTGAAACTCAAGAACTTAGGCATCAGGAGGTCAAGTCATTCACCACGGCTCTTTACACAGGGGACCGGGGCCCTTGGGAGACACGGGGCGGGGCCTGGTCACGGGGACCATAACGGTTCATGGCAAAGACTTGGCACTGGGGCTCCTAAATGCGAGCTGCCTCCCTGGCACCCCAACCCCCAGCCTCGCTCTGGGAGTCGCGATTCCCATGGAGACCCCTTCAACCATCTGCAGGGCGAGGCCGTGTGGCGGCTGCTTCTGGCCTCCATGTCCTCACAGTGGGATGAGCACTCGAGCGAGGGTATGTGGCCGGGGTGGGGTGGGGGTGCTTGTCCTGAGCCAAGTCCTGAAACATTTTGAGATGCAATGTTCCACTTCACCAGCCCGGTTTCTCTTGCAGCCTTTACAGGGCATTCCCCTTCTGACCCACTCCCAAGAGGCGCCTCGAAAATGCGCCCAAGAACCACTTTCCTTCGGTGGATGTTTCTGGCCTGCTGAGGCAGGGCAGGAGCTGAGACTCGACTTCAAGTCTCAGCTGGCTTCAACTCAGTTGGCTTCAACTCCGTACCTCTCACCCTCTCCTGGACCCCAGACGCTCCCCCAAAGACTCAGACACCCAGAAATACAGAATGAAAGTTGGTCCCGAAGCCAGAGGGGCAGCCTGGAAGGTGTGGGGAAGAGGACTGGGGGCCCCGGAGGGAACGTCTCCCACAGGCCTGGCATCCCTCCTCTGCCGGCTCTGTACATGGAGGAGGCCAAGGCCAGTGCCAGGCTACGAGCCCCAGGCAAGGCCGTGATCCAGGTGAAAGCTTTTAAACCCAAGCTCAGAGGCAAGAAGCCCACGGCCAGCACCTCCTGGCCCTCTCCGCCCTGCCGCCTCCTCCACACCGCCCTCCAGCCGGCCTGCCTCTCCTCCTGGTCGCTTCCCTCAGTTGCTGCTGTCTCCCGATCGTCTCCTCTCTCCATTCCCAGGTGTGTCAGTTTGTCTGTCTCTCACCTGTCTCGTCCTCTCACCCTGCGGCTTTATTTGAGTTTTCTTCCGTCTTCATCACCCAGCTTTCCTGGCGTCTCCTCCACCCCGGCTCTGTACACAGGGGTGTGCATCTTTCTCCTCGACTCTGTTCCTCTTGCTCTGGCTCTGACTGTCTTTCTCTCCACGAGTAAGCCCTGGCTCCCTCCATAGATCCTTCCAGACATCGCCGGGCTGCCCTCTGGTTCTCTGTCCTCTTTTCTCTCTCTTTCGAGCATTCTCCCTGTCTTTCCCCTCAGATCTTGTCCCGTATCTGCCAATTCACACCTCCTCTTCCCCACTTTTCCCCTCTTCTTATTTCTTATTTTATTATTTACTTATTTATTTATTTAATTTTGAGACAGTGTCTCACTCTCTCTCCCAGGCTGGCGTGCAATGGCGCGATCTCAGCTCACTGCAACCTTCACCTCCCAGGTTCAAGCGATTCTCCTACCTCAGCCTCCTGAGTAGCTGGAATTACAGGCATGTGCCATCACGCCCGGCTAATTTTTGTATATTTTGTAGAGACAGGGTTTCTCCATGTTGGCCAGGCTGGTCTCAAACTCCTAACCTCAGGTAATCGCCCTGCTCGGCCTCCCAAAGTGCTGGGATGACAGGCGTGAGCCACCGTCTGGCCCTGTCTTCTTTCTCTCCCCCTCTTCCCTTCCTCTTCTTTCCCTCTCTGGGTCTCTCTCCACCCTCCCCCTATGCTGTCCATTCATCTCTTTCTCCTTTCTCTCTCCCTCTTTTTCTCTCTCTTCTCTTCCTCTTCTCTGTCTCCGTTTCCCCTGTTCTCTCTCTTTCTCTGACAGCTCCCAGTTCCCCCATGTGCTCCCCACAGCCAGCCTCACCTGCTCTCTCCATCACTTACCTGGGACCACATGTGGAAGGAGGCAGAGACACAGGCAGCTCAGGGACACCCAGGGGACCCTCCTCCAGCGTGTCCCCTTCATGGCTGCCGCAAAAGTTCCTCTGGCTCCCTGGGGAAGCTCCACGCCCAGGAGTTGCAGTATGAGAAGCAGACTGTCCCCTCCAGCGGCTGGCCCGAACCAAGTGCGTTTCTCTGAAGGGGCCAGAGAACCTGGGAAGAGGACAAAAGAGGGCGGGGCCCCACACCAATCAGGCTTTTCTCTCCTCAGCCCCACCCCACTCCCCACCAGGAAAGAAAATACCGGTGCACCCATTGCTCTGCGCTCTGCTCCTCACCAGCCTGAGCTGAGTGGCAGGAGGGACAGGAGGAGACACGGGAGGAGACACGGGGGACGGGAACAGGTCACACAGGAAATGGGTGGGCCGCCCTCCTGGCTGGGTTCCTGGGCCCTCTCCTCCCTCCCCAGGGGCGGCCCCTGTCCCACCAGAACTTTGGGCTGCTGGGAAGAATGGGGAAGAAAGGGCCACAGAGGGAGCGACCTTGCGGGTGTATGAAGAGGGGAAAGAGAGTGAGATTTAAGCAGACCCCAGGGAAATAGGAAGCGGGGAAACCATGTGGGTGAGGGGCAGGAACAGAAATGTACGCCATCTTTTGGAAAGGGGTGTTGTGCTTAGAATATCTGCTCAGTGCAGACACATGGCAGACCCCAGATGTGTGGCAGACCCTCAGAGCAGGCGCGTGGCAGACCCCAGATGCGTGGCAGACCCTCAGGGCAGGCGCGTGGCAGACCCGACGCATGGCAGACCCCAGACGCATGGCAGACCCTCAGAGCAGGCGCGTGGCAGACCCAATGCATGGCAGACCCGAGACGCATGGCAGACCCTCAGGGCAGGCGCGTGGCAGACCCCAGACGCATGGCAGACCCTCAGGGCAGGCGCGTGGCAGACCCCAGATGCGTGGCAGACCCCAGATGCGTGGCAGACCCCAGATGCGTGGCAGACCCTCACCAAATAGTGGACTTCTTCTTTCCAGGGCAGGGAGCCAGAGCTACGGTGCAGGGAACCTGGGACAGTGTGGGAGACTGGCCCGAGGGAGCTGGCATGGGCAGTGGGTTGAAGGTGGAACCTGGGTAGGAGGAGCAATGCAGCTGTAACCTATGAGGAGGTGGAGCTGCTCCTGGAGACCTGGGGACTCCGCTCACCCCAGTTCCACCTCTTGGAACTCACAGGCACAAGTGAAGAGGGACAGGGACCACAAACAAGGTTGTAAAGGTGAAGAGGGCAGTTGGTGTAGCTCTCCGCAAAGGCAAACGGGGATACCTCCGCTCCCCTCTTTGCCACAGTGTGCATCTCTGCTTCTGGTTCCTCAAGACTTGAATCCTGAACGTGGGGTGTCTGTGGAGTGACTGGTCCCAGAGCAGGGACTTCCGACACTCAGACACCGTGGGGCCAGGACAAGGAATCGGGTTTCTGCATTCCCGAGCAGAGCCAGCCTTGTCCAGCGAGGATTAGGCAGCGGACGCCGTGGTGCCGTCTCTGAGGGTCATGGAGGCCCTGTGATCACTTGCTTCTAGAAGCTGAAAGTCGGTCCATGGCCCAAGGCCAAAGCCTGCACGCCCAGGATACCGTGGGCAAGTGGTGTGGTCCCCTAACAGTCCCTCCAGCTCTGGATGAGCTGATCCTGTTCTTTCCTGGAGGTAAGAAAGTCATAAAGGTAAGGAGGGATGTGGAGCATCCTGGGGGCGCCTGGGTAGGGCAGCAGGAGGGCACTACTGGAGGGAATTCGCAGACACCAAGGCCCAGTTTGGCCTTTGTGATCATTTTGCTCAAGCAATTTCCCCACCTCAGCCTCCTGAGTAGCTGGGATTTACAGGTGCCCACCACCACACCTGGCTAATTTTTTTTTGTATTTTTAGTAGGGACGAAGTTTCACCATGTTGGCCAGGCTGGTCTCGAACTCCTTACCTCAGATGATCCGCCCGCCTCGGCCTTCCAAAGTGCTGGGAGTACAGGCGTGAGCCACCGCACCCTGCCGTGGTCATTTTTCTATGTCAGCTCTTGTTTGTGGGTTCCCCCATTACCTTTCCAAGGTTGTGTTTGGTGACCCTTTCAGGACCACAGTTTTCCATCTCTAGAGGAGAAAGAAGCATCCAGGTGAGATCAAACTAAGAGTTGGGCATCTTGCTGACCGAACACAGGTAGCTGACCACTTTCCAATGCCAGGAAGGCCAGAGGCCTTCTCTCTGGAGGCTGCTGTGATGGCCAGGACTCAGGAGGGTGTTACAAACCCGGGCTCGATCCCAGCTCTGCCACCGAGTCGTCACAAAGTCACAGCCCCTTCGAGCTGTTTTCCTCGTTCATCTGTAAAATGGGGATAATGACACCTATCTGAAAGGTTGTAGGGTGGGAGTGAGGCTGTAGATGCTTAGGGGCTGTGGGAGTGTTAGGATGCCTGTTGTTAGGATGCCTGTTGTTAGGATGCCAGTTGTTAGGACGCCTGTTATTAGGACGCTTGTTGTTAGGACACCTATTGTTTAGGACGCCTGTTGTTTAGGACACCTGTTACGCTTGTTGTTAGGACACCTATTGTTTAGGACGCCTGTTGTTTAGGACACCTGTTATTAGGACGCTTGTTGTTAGGACACCTATTGTTTAGGACGCCTGTTGTTTAGGACACCTGTTGTTAGGATGCCTGTTGTTTAGGATGCCTCTTGTTAGGATGCCTGTTGTTTAGGACGCCTGTTGTTAGGACGCCTGTTGTTAGGATGCCTGTTGTTAGGACACCTGTGGAGGAACGTGGCTCCTCCTTCCATCCAGGCATCATCCCTGGAGGGAGACACAAATGAGGAAAGCCAGGATACAGGAGGAGTCTGGAAGTGAATTTCCAGGCCCAGGTCTTTCCTGTATCCCCTTTGAGTTTTACAGGATTCTGATTAGGAACATGAGATCCTGGAGAACTGGGCATGTGCACTCCTGTTCACCTCTTCCCTGCCCACGCCCATTTCCCTTCTGCTTTCCAGCTCCCCTCAACGTGCCCATTTTCCAGAGTTAGGATGCATCTAGGTCTCTGTGATAAATGACTGTCTCTTCATCTGGGTTGGATCATGGGACACCCATTTGTCCTTCCTTCTCCCCTCCCAAGGCATCTGATGGGGACAGAATGGGGTGAATGAGAGGGGACAAAATGAGTGGCTTCTCTAGTTCCTTGTGGCCGAAAAATCTCCTAGGTCTGCATGCTGCTGGGTGTGCACAGGGGCAGAAGTCTGAAGTCAGGTGTAAGTTAATATTCCCTGGGGGGCAGGAAGAGCTTAGTGTGGATGTGAGGTGTGAGTAAATTGGAGCGAGGATAAGATCATGAGATTCTCCCAGACTGGCCTTGAATAGACAGCTGGGTTTGAGGCAGCAAAGTCAAGATCTCCAAGAGAGATTCCCCTTCTAAGCTCCCTAAGTAGGAGTCCCTAGTTTTTTGGGTCCCCTAAAATTGTTTGCCTTTATATCATGTATGCCTCGTGCTGTGAATAAAGTTCAATCTTGCCAAACTTAGGACAACCAGGCTGAGCTGGAGCAGGAAGCTGGATGTTTAAGTCTGATGTGCCTACTCAGTCTGGACTAAAAAGGCGTGTGGATTCTCTAGTCCGTGACCCAGCGTGAAGCTGGTCACTAGAGTGCCAGGCCCTGAGCCTGTCCCCATGGTCCCATGAAGTACAACGCGCTGCCCCACGCACGTGTGCCCATCATCCCCGAGTCACAGGCCAGGTCGGGCCATCTGGTGAAACTGGAGAGTGCTAACTCCACAATCACAGCTTTCCGGACCACACACTAAGTCACAGAGCTGGAATCTGAGCTCCGTTCTGCCTGGTTCCAAAGCAAAAGAAGGACATCACCTGGGCTGAGCGCCCACGACATCCTCCGCTCCAGGCCATTTCCCGGTGGCAGGTGGAGACGACCTTTCAGAGGGGCCTCGCTGTCCAGCTGCAAGGACAGTGGTTAGTGGACATCCCCCAGCTGCTGGCCCCTGCAGGGTGGGCCTTGGCTTTTATGCTGAGCTCATGCTCTTCTCCAGATGACCCTATGGCCGATGACTAAGCAAAGTGGCATCGCAGTGACCTCAACATTTCCACCCCACAAGACTCCTCCAACAGGTGATCTGCCCCTCAGAGCATCCCACGAGCAGGAGCTTTGTGGCTGTGTCAGCTGTGCTATGTCCTCCCGCCCGGCCCGGCCTCCTTCTCCCTACACAGGTGCCATATCCTCCCGCCTCCTTCTCCTTACACAGGTGCCACGTCCTCCCACCCGGCCCAGCCTCCTTCTCCCTACACAGGTGCCACATCCTCCCGCCTCCTTCTCCTTACGCAGGTGCCACGTCCTCCTGCCCGGCCTGGTCTCCTTCTCCCTACACAGGTGCCACATCCTCCCGCCTCATTCTCCTTACGCAGGTGCCACGTCCTCCCACCCGGCCCAGCCTCCTTCTCCTTATACAGGTGCCACTCCCCTATAGCCTCCCTCCACATTCCTTCCACCAGCTCAGCATTTGCTTCCAGGAGGACCCGACCCGAGACACTCACTTAAAACAGGATGCCTGTGTACAGATGTGGAAGCTGGCCCTCCGAGCTGGGATTCAGACCCAGGTCAGCATGACTCCAAAACCTGTCCTCCTCCCCAGCTCTGTATTCCACGGTTCAGCAGGGAGGCGGGTGGGCTGGGGGCCCCGGCACCTGCTGTGTGTGGTCCCTATCCGAGGCCACGACGAAAGCAGGGGCCCTGGTACTAGGGCCACACAAAAAAAAGCCAGTGTCATTCTCTTGGGTTTGAGTTTCTCCATTCTCTAAAAGTGCCAAGCATTCTCACGCCAATTAGCTCATGTCCCATCTCATTTTACCTCTGTGGTGGAGTGGGACACGATGCCTACACACGCAACATCTTCTTGAGGGCATCCCCGTGAAGCAGGGCCCCTGGGGGCACAGGAGGGCCTGGAGGCCCAGGGATCTCAACCCATTCCATCCACCCAGCCTTAAGGAGAAGAAAGCCCAGGCCAGGAAGTCAGCGAGAACAGGAAGTCGGTGAGCCAGCATCCAGGTCCCCG